AACATAGTTAACTGTGTCATTAGTGGTTGCCTTATTAAAGAAGTTGTTATTGAGTCACCTGCTAAATGTTTTAATATCCACAATTTTTAAGTCTTTATGTAGGTCAGAATTTCGTATAAACTATGCGGCTCCCCGTAACTTTTCTAAGGAAATTATTCTGGAAAGTTTGTAATTTGATGAAATTGGTGTTTGAATCAATGCACCGGGCAGGGAAAGCATCAGTGAGAACTGGGCAAAGAATGGAGGTGTATATTCGCCTTTTCCTTGCAAGATCAAGTGTAGTTGTCAAAAGAAGGATGTTATGTAGTTTCCTTGGCATTTGGGTTGCTTTTCCAAAGGCAGCAGAGATGTGCGGATTCCATTTGAAGGTGGTATTAAATACCTAAATATGTTGCTTTGGTGACCCATGGAACCTTTTCGTTAAATAATGTCAAGTCGACATCTACATTTTTCCTACGATGTCGACCGATGAGCAGTAATTGGGATTTTGAAGTGTTAATACTAGTTCTCCATTTTCTGCACCAGTGCTCGATCTCGTGCATCCTGACCTGGATGTGAGTGATAGAATGATTGGGATTTAGTGATAAGGAGAGAAATGTGGTGTCATTCGTATAGCAGGTGGTAATACAGTTATTATCATCAAACATAGAAAAATCCATTGCATGTATTAAGTAAAGGCAATAAATTTGAGCATTGTGGAATTCCTGCTATTTTTCTGTGTGTGGAGTAGTGATTTCCTAGTCTGATGTTGAAGGTGTGGTCGTTAATAAAAGAGTTTATGAGAAGGACCAATTCCCAGACCATTTGCAAATAAGACCATTTGGCCAGACGTGGCAATAAAATATCAAATGTGGCTACCCTTTATTTATTGCTGTCTTGCATTATTATGACAAACCTTCCAAGAATTTTCTTTGCACTTTGAATTTAAAATAATTTCACTCTCGATTTTTGTTTTCTGTTAATTTGAATGCGAACTTTTTAAGTTCGATTTATGAATTTTCTGCTGTTCACATGTCTTTTTACTTGTATAGCTAGCATACATCGTCATAAATTAAACCTCTGTTTCTTCTGGTATTGGATGAAATAAATGCATAATGGTTTTTGAATAAATATTTAATATTTTGAATTCTGCAGCCATCTGATAAGTTATTTTTGCTCGTTAAATCCTCTCTAGTTTTATTTCGTAACTAAGAAAATGAGGGTGGACATAATATAGGTCCTTCATAAAAATAAGGTCTTCCACTCCATCCTAACATTTAACTTCGATTATATTTTGAAATTTAATAAGAGTAGTTAATAATTAAATTTGAAATTTTCTTAGTCATTAAGAAAACTGTAAGAAAAGAAGCGTCTTTGAGCGATATGGGAAATAAGGACTAATTGTTTCAAAGTATAATTATTCAGTTTAGAAGAATGATAGAAAATTTGTGAAAGGTTAAAGCATTATCTTTATGAAGTTTCAAATTTGACTCTTGTGTCATTGAATTTATTGTGCAATAAGTACAGGAACAATATAGAGAAACTATCGAGTATATTTTCAACAAGCATTTAAATTTTACAGTGTCTTGTAAATCAGGAAATTAACTAAATTTAAGTTTTTTTAATTTATTGCATTCTTAGTTGCTATTTCTTTTATTTGAAATTGTGTCGATATACTGCTTTTTCGTGTAATTGCTAGATTTTTTTATATTTTTACGAAAATTATTTTGCCCTTGGCAAAAGCTTTTGAATATTGTCAATGGGTACCTTGTTCCAGAAAGATTCCAAAAACCTTAACATGAAAGAATTTATATAGTGCTTATAATAAAACTACTTATGCCTTTTTTCTAACTTTTAAACTATGAAATTTCATCTCTTGCATTATTTTATATTCAAAGTTTTTATTTATTACACATAAGTATAGTTTACTTGAAATATTTAAAAAAAATTACTTTATGAAATTAAACTTATTATTGCTTTGTTCAATGTATTCCCTTTAAATCTATTTCAGTAGTATATTTTTTTATAGTTAATCTTTAGGAATTTTTGCATATTTGCATTTATTATAAGCATCTAATTGTTTTGCCATAAGTAGGTTATTTTTCTTTAATATGTTCATAGAATTTAACATTTACAACAGTTGTTATATTTATTAGGAATAGTAGTAAGGTGGTAGATTATCTTTTGTTAGGTTTGTAAATATAAATATATTTTATCAGTATTATTATTTAACATAAAACATGGCTTGAAGTTTATTCATTGAATGAATGAAACATTAGAATCGGAAATAATAAAAAATATGACATTAAACCCTAGCAATTATGGATGTGATGATAAAGCACAAAGATGAAAAGCTGTTTCCTAAAATATATTGTATGTGGAAATGAGTGAATATATAGCCTTAAATGTCAACATAGATTACTGTACAAGACAAACTATTTTGTCTCAGTGGTCTACAGCCCTAAGATTCTCGGGTTGATAATGTCAAAGGTTTACTGTGGATAACGCATCGGCGTTGTTACCAGTGTGCAGTGAGTAAATGGTTACCTGCTCATATAATACTGATATCGTTTCTGGTCACTTAAAGGGTAGTAAATGTACAAATTCAATCCATATTTATTGATAGAGCTCTAATGAGCATCTGTGAGCAGGCAATATGGCATTCATAGACTATAGAGTTCTACTCGCATATCATTTCTGACTGCATGTAATGATTGCCTGATACTCAGAACATCAAAATTGAATTTCTGTTGTATGCTCAGATCTATACTGATGCTCAGATGTTTTGGCTGACGAGAAGATATAAATGGTATTAACAGAAAGAAGCCAGAGGCCTCAGAACATCCTGTGGAGTTTGTTATTCAAGGTTGTTAATGGCTTTAATACTGCTGCAAAGATAGCTTTCAAATAGAATGTTATATTTGTAAAAAACCTTAAATGTTGCATACAGAATGTACTAACTTGATCATCTGCATTCAGCTGTTATCTCACCAGCATTAGAGATTCTGTGTGCTCAACAAATTGCCAGATCCTTGAATCTAGAATCAGGATATAGATTGGAGTTTTAACTGATATAAAACAGCATGGCTTGCAATCTTTTTGTCATGTGATAGTTATCATCCAAGAGTATAACAAGCTGTCATTCATATTAGCTGTACAGTAGCTCTTTGGACTATGTCTAATGTTTTGGTCATTATTTATTTAAATGGACACATTTGCTTATTTTCTTTATATTTGATACAGTATAGGGGAACCTTATCAAAGTCTGGATACAACTGCAAGTATTTATCTTGCAGAAAAGAAGAAATTTTATATATGTTATATAAGAAAACGATTCTAAATTTCTGTATAACTAGCAATGCAGCTTTTAAAAAACCTTATTTTGCAAATTGCTGTTTTACACATGTGTATTTTTTCATTTGAATTTCTTTATATTTTATATTAAATATATACCATTTGAAATGTTAAAGCCATTTTGTTAAGTTCAGTATACATGAATATATTCTAAATTGCATTAAGGAAACATATCCAAAAAAAATTCATAATATATTACCATTAATATCAACATTCCAGCAAATTTTCTATTTTATTTCTTTGTTTTGGGATATCAAATAGGATTTTCCTAGTTCTAACATACTGGTGGAAAATTAAACTTATATACTTTTCCATCTATTTTTATCAGATAGGATTTTCCTAGTTCTAACATGCTGGAAAAAAATTAAACTTATATACTTTTCCATCTATTTTTATGACTTGTGTGTGGAAATATCTAATATGTGTTTGGCACATATAATCTTTCAGGTTGTGTGCCATAAAATCTATCACCACTTTTATGAAGACATCTTAGAATTAAATTTTGATGTTTAATCTGCATTTTTCTTCTCAATATGAATATATACTGTTTGGGTAATATGAATGAAAACTATGTTGTGTAAATGTAATACATGTTTCAGATTTTAAAATAGAAAAGTGATTCAAATAAGTACTGTTTAAAATATTTCAATGCATGCAATAATATTTATATGAATGGCACAGAAAGTCAGTTGAAAGGTGCCAAATAGTACAATCACGCTTCTAAAGTTATTCATTTTGTAGAGTGTGTTAGGATTTTTAAAAGTACGAAATAAAAAAAATCGGTGCTGTCACTGAATTCAAATTCAGATCTTCTGATTACTAGCTGAACATACTATCACTTGATGCCATAAAGGCATGCAGTCAAGAAGGTAAAAATTCTTTATAATTTATATGCGTGGTTTTAATAGTTTTTTTTTTTTCATTAGAAAATTTTTGCTAGGATGATTAAAAGAGTAAAAACTGATTTAGTGAGAAACTTTTAAACTAAATGTTCAGTGAAAATTTGAGTACATTATTAGCTGAACTTTGTAGTTAAGAAATCGACAGTATTTGACATGAAATGCAAGTTTTATGATAATACCATGCAGTTTGCAAACTGTTAAATGAATCTGCATATTTTCTTAGAAATATACTTTCTTACTGACAAATTGCTGATGGCAATTTTGTGCCAGTCTGGTAAGGTTAAAAGCAAATGTTAAGACATATAACTATTGCATTTTAAATTCATCTTGATTATAAAAGTGCACTACAGTATCTTCACCTTTTAAGACTTCTTTAAAAAGGATATTGGATAAATGGTATGATAAAATAGGAATAAAATGTAATTTAATGAAAATGAAGTTTTGCATATAAAATACAGACTCAGAGTATATGATAAAATTTTATAGCTAAAATTATTAAACATGAATCACAGTGTCAAATATCAAAGGATGCAATTACTAGAAATAGTATAAAAATAACCCGAGTTGGTGTCCATAAAAGTTCTCCTATACTCTCTGCCATGGTAATTTTTTTTTCGTGTAAATCCGTAATTATATGAAAAAGGTTTGATTTATAAAATAGTTTATAGGTCATTTTTGATCATTATAAATACAGCTTTGATCAGCTACCACCACACTACAATTCCTTAATTTTAACTTGTATTTTATTGAAATATTTTATTTCAGATTTTCGCGATTTGGCTTCCTTTATGTCCATAGGCCTTGGATGGTCCACAGCTGAAATAGGTTTTCTTTTAAAGTTATTAAAATTCCGATTCTAAACATTGAAAACTGAATATGCTTTCAAAGCATAATTTGCAAAATTTATAGCTGTGGTTATTTAATTAGTATTTCCTTCAACTAGTTAAAAATATTTACTTATGTTGTTAAGTTTTATGTTAAATTTAACTTTGAAATACAATAATACACTTTTCATAGAATGGGGTTACAATAGTTCAAGTTATAGAAATAAAAGCAAAATATCTAAATTTATACTGTTGTTATACCGGATTTAAAATACTTAATATGAACTTTAAAAATTATACTGTTGATTTAAAGAAAAAAAATGTGTATTTGATTTTTATAAAATCAGTGTCACTAAACAGTTTCAAACAATAAGTATTAAAATTTGACATATATATAGTTTGAAATTTATTTATTTTTATACTAGCATTTTATAAATATGCTGTGTATGGCATGATTTTGAATATTTACAGTTTTACAGTTTATTTGTAAATAACATGTATAGATTACTCTTCAAAAATGTTTTAATACTACCTTTATATAAATTTCTAACTAAAACAGAAAAGTAAATAAATGTATTGTAGCCTATCACTTATTTCCTACTGTACCTTATAAATTATAAACATATAACTGGAGACAGAGAAGAACACTATTTAATAATTTACATTTTATTATGAAATTGAAATTTCACCGTAAACTCTAAATTTTAAACAGTTATCTTAACATGTCAAATTATTTAGTAACCCCAAACTATGTTGCATAAATTTCATGTAATTTATATTTATATTCTTGAACATATTTTGCAATTTCATGTTGTAATTGAAACTTTTTTGTTGATGTAAGTATGTCTTACAGCTAATTGGAGTGGCATATGTTTCAAAATATAATAACAGTATGGAAGTATATTAAAATTTGTATATAGATAATTTTCTTTTTATTGTAGATATGTTTTTTTAAAAATGCATTAATTTATTTTGTTGAAATATTTTCAGACAAGTTAAGTCTTGATAGATTAAGCATTTGATAAATTTTCTGTTTTGTAAATTTATCTTTTCATCGTATATTTAAAGTAGAAAAATTACATGTTGTAATTACTTAATCATAATCATGGAATAAAATTAAAAAAACACTAATGGCTTTTTGTCTCTGATTTTGCTTGTTAAAAATACTCTGAATTAAAGAAGAAAAAGATGCACCGATTGTCTAACATGTGCTCGATCTGCATAAATTTTCTAATTTAATGGACTTTGTTTCAAAATATAGTTGATAATTCACAATTATGAACCTCAATACAAAAATGTTGTGTGCATACGGGTTTGTAATAGATTGAATGCACATGTCCGATACTAGGATCGAATAGAGTACAGTCAAAAGTCGTTAATTCGGACACCCATAATTCGGAATGATCTATAATCCGGACCTCAAAACTAAAAACTTTCTGCACATGCGCATAGGCATTTACGCTTGCACGTAAGACCTTTTACGACTGCGCATATGAGTGTGCGCAAGTGCAGAAAAGTGCAAGTGCATTTTCGCGTGCGCGTTTTATGTATAATGGACGTATAAGCTAAAATTATCTAATTATCTATTTCAGTTAATGTTGATGATTGCGTTGTTCCTTAATTTTCGAATTGGATCCGGCTTATTATTTTTTGCAGACTAAGAGCAATTTTATAAAAGTAAGCTTAAACTTTCGATTATATCAAATAGAATTTTCGATATATATTTGTTAATATGTAAAGGATCTAAAGCGAAAGTATGTTTTGAAATCCGAAATCTGTTTATCAATTTCACGCTGCTCGGCGGGGGGAACGCCGCGGCGGGCGCGTAATGAATTGGAAGTTGATCTGTCAGCACTATCCTTATCTTCAACGCAGATGTTTTTATTTTATTTGGCTTATAATTCCTTACCAAATGTAGTATTTCATCTCGATATGCTCAGTCTTTGATATGATTTAAAACAAGTTCCTCGTCATTATAATTCGCTTCCGATAGCGAAGAAAAGTAACAGAGGTTATTGAAAATGAAAAAATTTCGATTGACAAATTAGTTGGTGTTCTTGACACAGCAATTATAGGACTTGAACAGCGGAACTTTGTAACTGAACAAGAAATTATGTCTGTTTAATAGAATTAAAGAGAAAGTATTATCACATGAAACGAAGCAAAACTTAAACAACTTACATTGAAAGAAATGTTTAATAAAGTAAACAAATAAATATTAAGCTTTTTATTTTTGCCAATTTTGATACCCTTTAGATCATAATTGTTCTTTATTTCATAAATTACGGTTTCATATTTTTAATTTTAGAATTTCTGCATGCCATCTTACGAGATTTAAACTGATGATCTATAATCCGGAATTGCCGAAGTCCTGACGAGTCCGGATTAACGACTTTTGACTGTATAACAATTTATTTTTATCAAAAAAAAATATTTCAGAACTCTGGAATTTTCCACAGAAATATTCATTACAAGTGTTCACAGTATAATCATTAGTTACACTACAAACTACTAAGAATGTAAAACACAATGCATTGCAAAGTATATGTAAAGAGAAAGCTAATCTGAACTTGTAACAATAACAACAACAACAGCAGCAGCTAACTAAACAGCTAAGAGCAGATGCTTTCTCTTCGGACTTAAATAGTTTTTAATCAGCCACGTGAGATATTTCTAGCACTTTCTGCTTCTTGAAATTACTGGAAAGCAATAAGTGGATGGAATTAGGGTTACAGCTAACATGGTGGTCGGTTATATTTATTCAGTTTCAATACAAATTACGGAGATAGCCATTTACTGAATGTTAAATGCATGTGCCCCTGTATTCTTACCTTTCTTGCATAGCTTTTTATTAAAATTTGTCTCAAGCTATGTTACACAGAAAAATACAACAATGTTACTTATAATTTTACTAAAATTTAATGTCTAAGTACAAAATTCATAACAATACGTATTTTATCAAGATCCCAATAACAAAAAGAAAGACTTTGTTAACATTGCCACTAAATAAATCTAAATTCTGTGGTATTTATAGGCTGAATAGCGAATTTTCCCCCTTTTTTTTAAAGATAGAAGGATGTATCTCTTAATAAAGAATAAAATACTATTTATAGTAAACTACTATTTTTGAATTTATAAAATTGTCTAAGGAGATAAGTAATTTAAGCCAAGTTATAATAATTTGCATATTACAGAATAATTGTATAGTGGCAAAAGAAAATTCTCAACTTTTAATTCATGTATTACATAGGTGTCAGCTCTACCAATTTTTATCGTATGTCCCAGTCTACAATTTTAGCTAAGGAAAATGTTTCCCAGCAGTAAATGAGGTTTATTGAATTCCATTCATTGCATGAATTCCATTCTTCCACCCCTACTGATTTTCAGCATTTTATTTGATCTGAACCATTTTTTAATCTTCTGCAGACATATGTAGGACTTAGTTTATATTTATATTATTTTTTTTACATTAATAACTAGGAAATAACTAAGTTTATCCACACAATAGTATATACATTCATTATTTTTATCCTATTTAAAAGTGCTTTGATATATATAGACTTTTCTCCCTTACTCTGGATTTTCTCAGTGTAAAGTACAAGAAAATTACAAAATGAAATTAGTGAAAGAACTAATAAAATATTAACATATATTTTACATCAGAATGCCATTATAAACAATTCAGTAATCTTAATTTTCCATTATAAAGTGAAGTCAGTTTTGTGGTGGTTTGAAATGGCATAGCTCAGTAAGTGTCCGTAAACACCTGGTTTTCACAAGATTCTCTTAGTTTTTTCATATTATGGTACTGTGATTTCTATGATTTTCCCTTTTGTTATTACCTTGTAGTTTCTCTCAGTGCTTCACGTCAAATATATGTACATTGTATATGTATTACTAATATTAAATGTAATAATTTTAGATTAAGAAGTAATTTTTTGCATCACAGTGAACAACTCTGTAGTTTTTAAAGTATAAATTAATTTAAACAATGTTAGCATTTAAACTTCAAATTAGTTTGTGGGCTTGCTTATTAGCCATATCCAAGAAATAAATGTGTTTGGTATATGGGGCTGGTTATTTAAGTATTTTATAAGATCCCACTAGTAGTATATAAATACTTAGCAGTCTTCTAGAAAAGATTCATAAAAGAGCACCCATTCTTAATCAAATATAGCTTAGGAATACTTTGGCATATTTCAAGCCAACCAGTCAAACTTGTTTTAGATTACACATTGTTACTGTAGCTTTCAAGTTTTAATAATTTACAAGATTATCAAAATTTTAACCTTGCTTGCATTAATATGAGCAAAGTGAAAATTTTAATTTCAGACCTGTTTTAATTTTTCCAGCAGATTCTTTTTATTACACATTTTATCAGCTTAGTCTGTCTTCTACAGCTCAGACTTTATAGTAGACCAGCTGGAGTACTTGGGTTGCTCAGACTTTATGCAGAGTGAAGAGGCTTCATTTAGGAGGATGCAAGTAGTTTTTTGGAAGTTTTTAGGCAGACAGTTGATTAATAGTTGAATTGTGCAAAATTTTACCGAGCTCGGATTAAAGTACAGAACTCGCACAGGGCACCACATTAGTTCTACACTTCTCTACAATGTAAAGAGGTTATTACTTCTAGTGACAGTCCCTGCTGGACGGGACTTTTCTGAGAAACAAGATTCTGGTAGCACTGATTTAAATGAGAAGATTCCTAGAAAAAAGACCCACTATCTAGTGAAGTGAAGTCCCGCCTATCTACCGAAATGATGTAGCAGCTATGTGGGATATTTTTCAAACCTCACTGAAAATGTCTCAGCGGGAACTCTGTCCCGGGTAAAGATCAACCAATCAGACAAAAGTTCTGCTTCTGAAGAATCACGTGATCCCAATCTGAGTGATAATCGATTACTGTTTGGCATTCATGTCTTTGTAGTAAGTGAAAATAGTCACCTAGCTATGTGTGGGTTTCCTGGAAATGTGCGGGTTGTGAGAATTGTCCCTTTCGATGTCCAGTCCCGCATAGCCAAAACATAATGTGATTGGGACATAATGGTTTTAGTAAGGACTGGCTTTGCTATCAGTTATGCCTTTTTCCAGAAATAAGCTTTCAGTAAATTACCATCCACTTTGGATAATTTCTTTACTGTTTTTAAAGTATTCATAAAAAACTAATACAAAGCATACTTGAATTCTGCTTGAAAGGATCTTCACTGTTCTAAAGAATAAAGAAACATGGCCCATTTGATAGTTTTAATATAAACTGATAGTGAGAATGCAACAGTGTCAACATGAACTTAAGATGGGTAACCTGATTTTGAAATTGAAACTTTGTAGAAATATTGGTGCATATCTTTTGCAAAAACAAAATTAAATTTCTTTCTTTGCATATATGACTTCCCTTGATAGCGGGAATACAACAATGGCAGCATAAACCTAGGTGACAATAATATGGATGTCATGAGGACAACATCCTAATGTTAACACCCTGAGTGATAGTTTTTCAAAATCTTGTGTAGACAGTGACTGTCCTTTTGTTTTGAAGGTAAACTGTGAAAAATTTCATCAAGCTTAGAATAAAACTTAGATTTGTATGAATTGCACACAAAGAAATTCTTTATATACATATATATATATATATGTATATGAAGAAAGATGACTTTCATGAATCCAGCTAGTGTAATTTTACAGATCTAGTTGGTAATTAATAACTGAAATAAATATGCATTTAATGCTTTGCTGAATGACAAAACACTGTTGCATGGAAAATAAAAATATTTTAATTTGGGCAGCAGAACATACTTCTTTTATATCACCGAGTTTTCTGATTAAGTTTCAAACATAAATATTTTGCACATTGCAGAGTGGCAGTACAAAACTACTGATAACTGACTACCAAAAACATGTACGTTCCGTTGTTTAAAAATAGTGGACTGTAAATTGACTTGATATTACTTCAGTATAGAACCCAAGAAACCTCAGAGTCATAATGTCGACCGAAACTTCTTTATTGGCTTTCAAACAAGGTTGGTTGAGGAATGGCGAAGACCACACTGCAAACTCCGACTTCGGTAGCGGCTTACCTCACAAACTCAGAAGAAACTCTGCTTAGTTGAAGCTCCAGTAATTTACAGCAACCT